AATGAGTGACCGCAATTTTATACGTTTTCCTTTTTCGCTTTCGTCCTTCTATTGCTTTGTTTTTTGTCTTGGGTTTTTCGTCAAACTCGCGGCAATAGTTAAACAGCTGCGAGCATTTTCCATTTTCGTGCTGCAATTTTCCATTTTCCATTTTCTTGTCATGCTGCAATGTGTCTATTAATTTTGTGTGCCACGCCTCATCGGGCGTGGCGTTGACAAGCAACTCTGATAAATGACTAGAAGCGAAACCCGCTTTTCGCTGAGTGCTGCATAAAGCGTCTAATGGACCTTTTCAATTGGCTGCCTTGATTTTGTGCGGGGGCGGGGCTGGGCGTTGGCGGTGGCGGTAGCGGTGGCCTTGAACTTTCCATTGGAATTGGCAGTAAGCTTAAGCGTTAACGATTCGTCATTTATAATTGAGCATGAGATAACGAATTTTAGATAAACACGCGAAGCAGTTGAAGAGTTGGAAAGAAAGTTCTTAGGGGATTACATTTTAATTTCGTAAATATATTTGCTTTTTTTTTGTAATTTTGAAATGATTTCTTGCAAATACTTGGGGTAGAAATATTCCATAATCATTCAAGCATTTTATATTTATGTAGCTTTCATTTAACTTGTAAGCAAATGTTAACTGAATGTTAAACAATTTCAACTTATGAAGAGCATTTCTCGAATATTGAAAGCACTTTAAACTGTAGACAAAATCTCTGGGGGCCTCTTACACATTTGTAAGCTTATCTATAGAAGTAAAAAGAAACAGCAGGCTACTTAGGAGACGAAGGCGCAACTATATACAAAAAAGAAAGCAAAAAAAGTCAAGACATTGGGTCAGCAAGTTTCGTGCAACACCTGACACTCGCACACCTTGGGCGTCTGGCCTTTCATGTGATCCCTGGCACGGGTCGAAGACAGCAAGAGCGAGAAATCCTTAGGCCATGTCTGAAACGAGAATGTAACTGTCTTTGCTGTTTGAAACATGACGCGTTAAAGTCAAAAGTTGCCAAGCACTACAACAACAACAACAACAACAACAATGTTGAGAGCCATCAAGTGCCACAATGGGAGACGTGGCCCAAAGTAAAACTGCGCAAGTGAAATGAAAATGAAACGAAGTTATCATGGCTCAAGGCACACGACTATTATGCCTCGCCTAAGTCCTTGGATAAGCGTTACGGGGCGTGGCACAAAGGCAAGGGCAAGAGCTGCCACTGCAGCTCGGGCTACCACAAAGCGCATGTCGAGGCTGCCAAATGAAATTCTAGTGCGTGCTGGCTAAAGTGCAAGGCGATTCGGCGTCAGGTCTAAAACCGTACTCCCATTCCTAGCCGGGTCAATGTCAAAAGCTAAGACGCAGCAGCAGCAGAAGCAGCAGCGGCAGCGGCAAAAGTGGCAAAATTTTAATCAGAGACAGAGCCGGAGCCTCCCGCCGAGTTTGTTTCGGCTCAAAGTGCAGGCAGGGCTCAGTCAGATTTAACAGTCTGGCACAAACGAAAATAACAATAGAAACAGCAGCAACAACAACAACAACAACGAGGATGAGCAGAATATTGAATAAGTGGGAAACAAGTGAAGCCCTTGGAATTGCTTTGCAATTGCCTCTGCCACGTGTCCTTTTGTTAGCAGGAAAATGCCCTAACAGAGAGCATTAAAAGACTGTAAGCTGCACTGAGGCGATGTGGCAGTTATATAGTATATAGAGTCTAAGCAGCAGAGATCGAGAGTTTTACTTGGCATAGCTTTGGCATAGCTTACATTAACGGGTTGCTTATAGAGTTAATCTTCAGTTCAGCATATAGAAAACAATATGAAATTAGTACATTAATGAAACACTTTTAGCAGGACTCTTGCTCGCACTGAAAGGGCATTCACAGCTCTTGTATGCCGTTGCAATTGTCATATCTGTTCGTGTCAGAGCGCAACGGGATAGTTAAAGGCAAGTGATAGCCGCAAAATCACAGAGTCCTTCAGTCAAAGGAGACGCGCGCTAAGCTGCATTGCAAGGCTTCATAATGCTCACCGCATGCGGCTAGGCGCCCCGTCTTGCGGCATGCAGAATGCGGCATGCGGCATGAGGCATGCGGCAACTAGGCATTTGATTTCGAGCAATAGCAAAAAGCAAGGCGCAATACGAAAATGAAAATGAAATTCATAAAATATGATTTAGACTGTCTGTGTGTGTGCGTGTAAGTGCGCGCACGTGTGTGTGTGTGTGTGTGGGTGTAACTGCTAATTAATCAAGTCTGTCAAAGGCATAGCCAACATGTTGCCAAGCTCATCAAGACGAGCCGCATTCAGATTCGCATCCTTAGTCGCATCCTTGTACACAGCTACATCCCGAGCCACATCCTGCACAGCTGTTTAAACTTGTCGACTAAGCCGCTGCAAATCCCTTGAAAGCCTCGCCTGTCTGCACCTGGCAGCTCAGCCCAAAAATGTTGAATAAACACACACACACACACAGGCACATACGCACAAAAAAGAAAGAAATTTTTATAAAGCTGAAGCTGGCGAAAATGTAAAATGAAATGAAATTACAAAATTATGCCAGCTGCGAACATTTTGCAGCGAACTTTGCAGCAGGAAGCCCAAGTCAAAGGCGCTTATGAAAATTTTCCAAAGAAAAAGAAAAGTCGACTCTGCCAAAAGCAAACAAATCTGCTGCCAGTCAGAAAAGTAAGTATTATATTTCTATATATTTATACATAG